ATAATGACTGAATGCCAACCATAAACTAGTAAATATATTTGCGATTTTATTCTTGCAGAATATGTTTCCAATGCAACTATTTTTGATAATTAACCTGATTTAAGAATTCTAGATTATTATTCATATACATTCAAGTTGGGTCTATGATTTTATTCTTAATACACATCCGAAAAAAAATACAACTTCATACATATTCTTAGAGTCTAATATCCTTATACATTTTAATATATTTATACATATTCTAACTGAATATCATCAAAAATGAATAAATTCTTAAAAAAAATAGCATTCTTAATATACAATTATTGAACAAATACACTTGATCTTCATTAGTGGTCCATATAATCCACTTGATCTTCACATATATACTTGTTGAAATCGATTCTAAATATTTCTCTTGTATGATCAATATTGAATTCATTCTCCATGCAATTCTTAAAGAATAAGATATATTACTCGTTAGTATTACCAGTTAAACAAAAATAATTGTTGTTAACAAACATTCTCAAAAGACATTCTAACATAATATATATATATATATATATATATATATATATATATATATATATATATATATATATTCTAACAGAATATATTACATAATACACTTAAATCATAGTTTTTTTTCTATATGCATAAACATTCTAAAACATGTATAAATTTATTATGTCAGAATTAGTAGCAACATATGTTTTATGTAATATTTATATTCTCATAGAATGAACATGTGTTTGCATTCTAATATGAAAAAAAAATCTCCAGCTTAACCTATTTCATGCAAATTCTGACAGAATGTCAGCTTAACCCTTTTCATCAAAGACTAATGGCATGTACTACTACAGTTAGAGTAATTCTTAAATAGTGCAATTGACACATTCTTTTTTGAACAATATAACCAAGTTCTTAAAGAATGGTGAACAAGATTTTTTACAAGTTGGATAATTCTATTTTGAAAGTAAACATTCAAAACACATAATAATACATGTTTCAAGTGATATTGTTGATATTTCCAACAAAACAAATTCTACAGTACCAAATTCAAAAGAACTACTGACATTAAAAAAAAAAAAAAACATCATTGTTCATATTAATAAGAACACCATATCGGGATAAAGGATTTACATGAAGAAGGTTATATGAGGATAGGGGATTTATCTCAAGAAATGACATGTTATGTACTCTTATAGATATAATATGTTTGTTTATTCAAAAAATAAAAAAAGAAGAGTTCATTAAGGCATTTCATCGAATGGTGTATGAGCATACAAAACATACGAATTTAGTAAGAACAAAAATTATTGTTGTTTTTTCTAACTTTGAAATTTCAGGGGGACTTTTCCCTACTTTGAATTCAAAGTTTTCCACTAAAACAAGTTGGAATATAACATCATTTAAAATTCAAAAGAAATTATCTAAATAAATACTAATAAGGATTAGAGTAAATATGCAAATGAGTTCCTATTTGTCGACTAGCAAATGGATTCAACTTTTTACCTAAGAAAAATGGTTGCTTTCAAAGGATTTTTCAACACTACATTAAGTCATCGACAAATGCAACAAAAAAATTTCAGTTACGCATCATAACAAGATAAATAGAGACCAGATAGAGAGAATAGAGACAATTACCTGAGTTGGAGGCGTCATCGGGAAACATTGGCGGTGATGGGAAGCGTGGGAGTCCATACCGTGCAGGTATCGAGTGGACAAAGGATGCAAAGACGAAAACAAGCCCTATGTTGAAACAAATAGAGTGGTTGTTACCTTTTGAAGTTGGAGGATTCAAGTTGGTTTAAGTGTGCACTCAATTTAAGTAAGTTGATCTCGGGGATGACCTAATTTGCCAACAGAGGGATAAAATTGAAATTAGGGATGGAAGGAGAGGAAATCGGCTTACGGTTCACAACATCGGCATCCTTCCCCCTTGGGCTGCAACGCCATAATCGTTGGCGAATGGGACCAACTCTGACACTGCTTCTCTCTCATGCATCATCTACTTTGCTTCTCCCGTTCCTTTTAGACTTTTCGGTTCTCGGCTTCAATTTCACGAGCCCAGTTCTACGCTTCAATTACAGAGGTGGTGCAGGAATGTAAGATGAAACTGAAAGCTTTGATTTCGAGGTGATGATGGTCAGCTGGTAGAGGAGCAGCAGTGAAGTTTCCGATTGAGGTGAGGCTACAGATTTTTGTGGTCGATCGTTTGAAGATAAAGAGGGGAGAAAACTAGGTTTTAGGAAGTTAATAAATTACCTTAATTAAATATGAAAATATTACTATAATACCCTTACATAATTTATTTAATGTTTTATTATTTTCTTAATTCTCATTGGTGCATACATGCACACAGTAGTTGATAGAAACATTTGAACATAGCTATCTCTCTCTCTCTCTCTCTCTCTCTCTCTCTATATATATATATATATATATATATATATATATATATATATATATATATATATATAAACTATAAACATTAATGTATATATTTTGAAGATTGTATTCAAAGTAAAAGGAGCAAAATAAAAATAAGTGATTTTGATGAGACTTAACTCTTGAGCGTCAGTCAAAAACAATCATAGGATGCATTTAAGTAATAAAATAATATTATTTTATTGATTTTAAGGTAATACACAAATTGATATATGTATATAGGAATCTATCTACTCTAATAAATGAAAATGATTTTACCACATGTCCTTCTCTCATAAGATTAGCCGCATGTCATTTTCTTATAATTTGAAATATATTTATTTTCCATTTGTCATTACTTTAATTTTCATTTCTAATATATCATTGATTTACTTTCCATAAATTAAACATACCATAATGATTATCAAATTTTAAATTTCAAATTCAATTCCAAATAAATTTACAGTTTAAACTTTTATGTTTAATATTTTGTTATAATTAACCCGTTTAGTACACACTAAACTCATAATTTTAATTAATTTATTATTTGCATATTTTTTCTCATAATTTTCACTTATTTCAATTTAAAATTCAAATAAAATTTCTATTTAATCGTTCGTACTTAACATTTTGTTTTAATCAACCCGTATATTATACGGGTCTCACAACTAGTACCCAATTAAGAAGAAATATGAATGATAAAGAGAAAAAAACACGGACAGCAATGCTACATTTTTATTACCTACCAAATATATAATGATTAAACGGGTATGGTCATTGAAAATGAGGTATGTATAATAATCCCCAACATAGAAATAGTATAGCCTAGTTCCAAAGCTTAACCAAATCATTATGTTTTCCCTGTTAGGAGAAGAGAATATAATAATCAAATCAAGAATTAGACGAACATAATCACTTTTAGTTAGACGTATAGTCAAAGACATGATCTACATGACCGTTTTTTATTCAAGGTGGCCATTAATTAACTATTAATGTTGAAAGATATTTTAGACTCATACTATTAGCCCTTAAAACAAATATAACGAGATACCTACAAATAATTACGTATAACTGTTAGCATAGCCAATGCAATCCAATATAATAATAATAATAATAATAATAATAATAATAATAAAATAAATAACCTTTCTCTCTTTTCTCATCTGGGTGAGAATGGGAATGGCAGTGAAATTGCTACTATCAGAAAATCAAGACATGAAGATAAACTACGCACTAACTAAAACAAAACTTTCAAAAATAAAATAAGTAATCTTAAAAATATTACGGATCAAACATGATAAGTTTCTTAAGGAAAAGGTTTATATATCCGATAAAATAGTTTTCAACCCCGGACCTAAGTTGAAAACTCATGTAAATAAAAATCATTGGCATGTTTACGCATTCTAAAAGTAAAAAACACTCCAAATATGACTTACCAAGTACATAAGTGAACTATCCTAAACACCAACTTCAGTTTTCAAGGTTCTTTAATCATTCTATGAATATAATTTTTAGGCAATTGAATAAAATGTCAAATAAATTAAAATGCAACTTAAATTAATTTGTTGTTGGTTGTTGAAAAAAGAAAAGTTCATCTTGAAAATCAGAAACCATCTTCCTTATTCAACCCTATAATAAGCATCATTCATCCAGAAATCATAATTTATTAAGCAAAAACTTATACTATTAAAAAAGCAAATTCAGAATTCAGAAATAAGCAAAACAGCCAAAATTTACACACTAATTAACATTCTTGATTCATCCGGTTAACTTATCCAGATTGACATGCCAAAAACTTTAATTATTGTATGAACGAATTAAACAGTTTTGAGGAGAATATCTTCTGGTAAATAAGATATGTGTCATTCTTAAGGCCAATAACATGAAATAATTTATAAAAGAGAAATATGCTAAGCCTTCATCGATTGAGATGCTTGAAACTTTTATCTCAATCCTATTTGAGTAAAAAAAATATATTCATTCGATGTTTTGAATCTTTTGAAACATTAAAGCAACAATGACATGAACACTACGATGTCCCTCATTGACATTTTAACAAACACTTTGTGGGCATATTTCACTGAACTAAAAATTGATAATCATAATCACTTTTCCTATGTATCTTTCTTCTCATCTCTACAAATTCAAATCGCAACCCCTTCTTCCTTATCTTCTCGAATTGCATATTGAAAAGGATTACGGTGATGTTCTGATGATGGACAACGAGACATTGTAGGAGAAGAGTTAATGATTTCAATAGAGATAGTGGTCTTAACTCTCCACAGAGAAGAAATCTATGCCTTGGTTCTTGATTTAAAAACGTTTGTGAGATAGATACAACCATACAGGCAGTCGGTGGTCAAATTAAGAGGTGGAGGAGAAGATAGACGGATGGGTCTATTAGTTTCGGTGAATCGGCCTTAAATCTCGACACATATATACCAAAATAAGAGCGGTGGTCATCGTTACCTGTTGTATTATTAAAGTGGTGGTCGATGGGTATCAAGAAGTGGTGTGAGGAAGTGCTACGCAGATGGGGATTGTAGCAGCAGTGGCAGAGTTGCGGTGGTTGCTTTATTGCCTCGCCTTTCTTTTCATCCGACGGTGATCAGCGAAAGGAGACAGTAAGTGGTGGTGATCGGAGTCCTCACGGTGGCAGCGGATGGTGGCGGCGTGCAATGGCAGTTCCACTTCCTTGCTCGTTTGTTTTTTTCCGACATGAACTCAAAGGGAGGGGCAGTGAACGATGATAGGTAGTTGGAGGGAGCTGGTTTGATGGAGCCACGCAAGCAGTAACAACAGCACATCTGAGGGTGTTTGGCTAGCTCCGAACAAAGAGTGAGGAACATGGTGGTGGTGGTTGCTGATATAAGAGAGACCTTCTTATTTTTTAATTATTAAAATAAATAAATAGGTATTATATAAAAAAAAATCAGATATATTTTTTTTTGTGCAAACGTGATCCCTTATAAATGAAAAGACAAATATACCCTCATATGGAAGGTACATGAGGGAGTTAACAGCAACAATTTAACCAATGTTTTAAAATCTGGGTCGACCCGGCCGGTTCAACCGGGTGGACCATGATCCGGGATAGAAGGCGGGTCAATTGAGATCGGTTTTTTGTAAAAATACAAACCGGATCGAACCGGCTAGGTTTCCCTTAAACCACGGTTCGACCACTTATGTCGAACCGGTTAAAACCGAGTTGACCCGTTTTAATAGGGTTTGGATAGTTTGATACAAGTAGCGAACGCCAAAACAACGAGCCGTTTGTGGTTTCTTCAATATTTTTTAATGTTTAAACTTTGTAGACATCAAATTATTGGTTTTATACGGTTATGCATTATGCATGAAAGTAAAAAATATATAAAAGTAGAAAAAGACCATAAACCGGGTTGACCCGGCGGTTCAACCGGTTAATCCGTAAACTGGTCATCACACCAGGTCAACTAAAAACCTAGGTTTTAAAACATTAAACTTAACAGAAGTTAAGTCGGGGACCAGTTTTACATAGAAACTAGGTCAAAAAGGCAATGAATCCAAAAAAAATCAAGTTTGAATTGAAACCACAAAAAATTACATATCATAAAGACCATTTTTGCAATTTTGTTTAAAATATAATCAGATGGGTTAAAGTAAAAAATCAATCATTAAAGCAAATGTTTTTTTTCTAACTTTATGAAGATGGTATCATATTCGACAGTGATGATGCAAATTACAGCTTTCAAGAAAATATGATAACAACCGAATGGGATTGTATTTATATATAATTTGCAAAAACAATTCTGGAAATGATATCATTAAATCAATATCACAGTATTTTGAATTCATTGATTTGAAATTCTTATGAAATCTTATACAATATTAGTTGTGAATCAATCCAATCAAAATAATATATGAAACCAAAATTAGATGAAAAAATGGGTGAATGATAATTTTGTTTGATAATTATGCTAATCTTTATTTGAATCAGAATACATTTCATTTACAAATTAGAGAATTACTCAACTTTTGAATTAAGAAAATAAAAAAAAAAAAAAATAACAAAATATCATGCGGCAAAGAAGATGAAAAATGTCAAATTATTCTTATTTATTTTGGTAAAGATTTATTTCGCGCACTCCATCAATACTCCAATGAAAATTACATAATCATCATACCATATCCCAAATTACTTGTAACTAATCGAAACAACACAACTAAGTGTATTAATTAATTAATTCCAAGTTTTTTCTGCAACTCCAAGCCAAACTCGTAAACCTTGTGAGGATCAGGAAGAGTCTTGGAAACACTCTCTCTTTCCATGCACCTTTTAGCCCATGCAACCAGCTTTGGACACTCTTTCTCTATACTTATATTCCCAAACTTCTCCCAAGCATAAAACCAACAGTAGAAAGGCACCAGTGCAATATCCACATACCCGAAGCTCTCCCCCATAAAATATGGCTTCTCCCCAAGCTCCCCTTCCAACACCTTCATGCAATCTATGAATTCCTTCTTTGCTTTTTCTTGCTCTTCTCCTAATTTTGTACTCCATATCTTCCTCCCAGCATCATATATCTAGGTTTTTTAGTTCAAAACAAAATCTATGTACGTATCAGAATTTCAGAAAGAAAAGAAAATTGGAGATGTTTAGGTAGAGGCATGATCAAAAGGTACCTTCTTATCGATGTAGTCAGCCCAGAACCTAGCCTGAGCTCTGAGATAAGGATCAGAGGGCAACAATGGTGGAGACTTGTTCTGCCAGGTCTCATCGATGTACTGAACAATGATGTTGGATTCACAGATGGGTTTTCCATGGTGGATGAGAACAGGGATTTTCTTGTGAACCGGGTTCATCTGAAGGAGCAATGGGCTTTTGTTGATCAAGTCTTCTTCTCTGCGCTCATAGTGGACACCCTTTTCCATAAAAGCAATTCTGACCCGCATACCAAACACGCTAACCCAGGTGTCTAACAGCACAACCTCCGAACCCGCCATTTCAAGAACTAAAAGAAAAGAAAACAGTGGAACGATAGGCTTGTATGTGTATGTGTACGTGTATGTCTGTGTTGAGGAAGGAGTGATCTGTGAGTTGAGGTGGTGGTGGTAGTAGTGCGCATTTATAGAGTTGGGAATATAAAAAGGTCGTATTTGAAAGAAGATTGAAGATGGTTCTCATGGCTTCCACACCATACATAGTGATCTCACCTCTTACGTCACCGGACTGTGCTAGAAGAATAGAACAGGTAAAGGTAGGTCAAACCGTTTCAAATATGACAAATTTTCCTTCACATAATCACACAAAGAACCAAAAATAAGTATAGCCTATAATCATTCTTTTGACTATTTAAACATGATGGTCATATAATCATTACATTGCTCCGGAATGTTTTTGGAATAATCCTTGTCACATAAAAGGTTTAAAAGAAATCCAATATTTTTCAAAAAGAAAATGAAACAAAAACCCTATAATATTTGAAAAGTTGTCGATTTATTAAAGTTATTTTGTTGTTTTATGAGGATATAAAGTTGATTTTGCCGGTCTAAATGATCACTTTGGCCAAATTGAAGGTACCTCTTTTGAAATGGATGAAAAAAAAAAAAAAAAAACCTCCAACCAATACTATGTTCACCTTTGTTCTTTCTCCCATCGATTTTCTTCTAAGGTATTGAACATAAATTGATGATAGTGAGGTTAAACTCATGTTTCTTCATCTTCTATCATCTCTATGATTCCACGACTCCATCAGTCCAACATTAACAACTTACCCAACCAGAAGGGTCCATCTTCACATTAAATAAATCTAATGGGTATTCTACTTTGCTTTTGCTATCATTGTAAAATAAGAAGTCAATCACTCACTTGTCTATCTTCTTTTTGTTAGTGAATTATTTCAATAATTGTATTTAAGTGTAATGGGTTGACTTGTTGATCAAAATCAATCTTTATGAATATTAAACGAGTAAGAAAGGGGCGGAGTGCACACTTGTTTAAGTTTATTCAAGATTCAAAGTAGACAATCATTTAGGGGCGAAGCCCCTAAATGAGTAAGGGTCCGGGGGCAGCACCCCTAGGAGCAGAGCCAAGGGGTCGAAATCCAAATTATTGAAAATGAACCCAGTTTTTTACTTTGTTTTGACTCTTATTAAATTGCTCGTTTTTGTGACGGTTTATGACTATTGGAGATGGTTTTGGACAGTTTTGAGATAGGAAATTGTTTTGTGATAGTTTTTAGACAAAGATTGTAACATCCCAAAAATACAAGTCAAAAATTTCGTTTTGAAAGGAATATAAAAACTATAATCATCCATAATCAATAAGAAAACTAAGTGTTATGTATCTCAAAATCTCATACAAAATATTGTTTCAAAAACAACTAATGTAAAAGCAGAGTATAAACATCCCAGGCTGAACAAATGGCGTGTGCACTGCAATCTTCTCGAGCTCCTCTTTTGAAAACTGGGTACCTGAAACCAAAACTGAAAATTGTAAGCACGAAGCTTAGTGAGACCCCCCAAGCTACCACATACCATACACATAATCACAGATGCATATACTGGACCCCGCCCACTGCCACATATGCATATACTGGGCCCCGCCCGACATCAGACCGATGTCTGGAATATCTTGGTCCCCGCCCACTACATCGGGCCCCGCTCGGCATCAGACCGAAGTCCGGAATAACTTGGGCCCCGCCCGGCCTCAGATCGAAGTCTGGAATAACTTGGGCCCCGCCCACTACATCGGGCCCCACCCAGCATCAGACCGAAGTCCGGAATAAACTGAACATAGCATAACATATAACATAATCACATATACTGTATCGGGCTTGCCCGGCATACTACACATAACAAAACATGCATGAATCACAAAGACATCAAGCAGACATAACTACTTCTCGAAATGGCCCGACATCAGACCGAATTCCAGAAAACATAACATATAACATGTAAGCTAAACCACTGCATCGGGCCCCGCCCGGTACTACTAACATCTAAACGGGTCGGCATTGTGGCCTTAGACCCGTTCCTACTAGAAGAGGACTCACCTCACACAGCTGAAGTCCTGTTAACAAAACCATAGCTGCTGGATGACAGATTCCCGATCTGTCAATATCAAAATAACACCCAATTAATAATTGGGTTCTAACACATATTCATAAATCCATGCTTGGGGTAAAAGACTACTTTACCCCGTAACTTAGCTTGACTCAAACCCAAGCCCCAATCCAAAGGCCCAAAACTCTAATAATGGACCAAGGCCCAACTATGGCCCAATTTTCCAAATTAGGCCCAAACCTCTACCTGGACTTCCCTTAAGGCCCAATTGTTCAGTCCAGTCCAACATGTCTCATTCTAAGGGCCCAATATCATGCAACCATCCAGGCCCAAACTATGGCCCAATTTTCCCAATTGGGCCCAATCCTTCATATGGGCCTTACCCTAAAGCCCAACTAATTACTCTAGTCCATTTGATTATTCTTGGATGGCACATTAATAAACCAATTACCAAAGCCCAATCGAAAGGCCCAAGTGAAACTAGGGTTTCACATAAAATGATGATTATGGTTAAGTTTCCTACTTAACCCATTAAGGACTTAATCCTCTAAGGACTTAATCCATTAAGTCCAATATCGCTTAGGTTAATCTTTGCCAATGATTATTATTTAATATCTCAAGTTATTAAATAATTTTCGCGTGTCTCGGTTAATTCCCCAAATTAGGGTTCTGTTGGCGTTAGGGTTTTTCCAACCCACATTAGCCCATTAAGCCCATTAGCTAGGTCCTTTGACCAATTAGGGTTCATTGGGCCCATTATGATTCTACTAGGCCTTTTATGGTTTCACTAAGCCCATTAGTCACATGCTTGGGCTTTTAGGTCCATTAAGCTTTATTTGGCCCATTAGGGTTTTAGTCCCTTGTCCAAACATCCCAAACTAGTCACTATCCAACAAGGCACACCACCACCCTACACGGCGACCAGTGGTGGCAGAAGGCGGCAACCACCACCCTATGGTGTTGGTTTGATTTTTTTTCTTTCATTATTCTAATTTTACAATTTACAATAAAATCTCAAATAAAAACACACACTACACTAACAGACACACACAGCCACGCTAGTGGTGGTCGGCGGCGGTACAAGGCGGCAGCCACCACCTCACGGTGGTGGTGGTGGTGGCGATTCTTGTGAATTCTGGCCAAATGACACTACAACCAACAACCACTAACAATAGAAATATACCCACACTAGGGCTTCGGTCTTAAAGGATGAACTGTGATGGCGGCGTGAAGAAAGGACCGAAAAAACGAGCCGGCAGCGGCAATAGAGGTACGATGAGGCAGTCATCGGAAGAAACAGAGAAGAAAAGGGCAGCAACGACGACCACTAAGGGTCTCTTCTGGTCATCTACAGCCATGGCGCGGAAGCCTTCGTCTTTAGTTGTGGCTAAGGGAAATGGTGACAACAGCAGCAGCGAGATTAGCGTCCACAGCGGTGACGCCAATGACCGGGAAAGAGTGTCAGACGCAACAGGAGAACGTCCAATGATGGGGTGGTCTTCAACGAGAACGGAAGCAGCGCCTCCACGATGCTTATTCGACCGGCCATCATGGTTCTTACTCCTCTACACGCTGCGTCCAACGATTTAGCTTCATCGGTTTCTGTCTTCATGGCGGCTAGGAGATTACGACGACTAGAAGGGAGGTGAGGTGAGGCAAGGGTGGCTGCTAGAGGATATCCGATGATGGCGGATGCCTTCATGAGCTAGGGTTAGAGTCACTGGGTGAAGGGTCTTATATACCCTAATCCCATAAATAAGTTTCCCATATTGACAGGATTCGATCCCTCCTTCCTTCTTTTCTTTCAAAATAAGTTCATATGTTACACTTTTAACCCTGCCTTCAGAAATCTTTACTAACTGAATCGAAAACTTACATTTTAAGCCCTGATCCCATAATTTTTTTTTCATAATAGATCCCTAAATTACCAATAAACCCTTTAGCCTTCAAATCTTTTCAATTTAAGTCCATAAATTACCAAACGCACCCTGACCACCGAAATTCTAATCAATTTAATCCCAAACTTACTCCTTTAACCCCCGACTTCTAAAATTCTTCACAAATTAGTTCGGGACTCACATTTTACTAATTTATTTAAATAAACGGGGTATTACAAAGATGATATATAACCAATTTTGGTCATAATATTGGTAATTATGAATTTCATAACAATCCACTTCTCTGTTCTATTTTTCTCTTTTGAGTCTTATCCAATTAAATATTAGGGAGAATCAACTAAACACTTCAATTTGAAAGTGACAATCACGATTCTCATTATTCCAAGTGCTATTATACCCCAAATTTTTAACACTTGTTACATCTGGATCTTCCTCACACACCTATATACAAATGGATGGTTGGTTGATCACGCTCTTTCTTTTGGTTTTGTGCGTTATAAAGGGTAGTGAATGAAACCATTGTTCTTATTTCAGGTTTGAAGAAAATTCATACTTGTACTATGACATCCATATTTTCACGGTCAGAAAAGACTTGTAACATCCAAAAAATTTCAACCAATTTAAACTTTTCAAAAACAACCCATATTCATTAACTCATTACAAAAAGGTTTTCAATTCATTTATTATTAGAGTATTTCCCAGAACCACATCATAAATACATAAAACATGAGGAGCAGTACGATCACGCCTTCGCCTTGCCACGATCTCCTGAAGTACCTGGAACAATACACTGAAAACTGTAAGCTCGAAAACTTAGTGAGTTACCCCCAAAATACCAACCACATATACCATACACATAACATATCATATCATAAACAGAACAGCCATGCACTTCGGGTCTACAGCGTGACTGATACGTCGCACCAAGCCTTCAGTCCACCTGGTCCACCCTCCGAGTCTAGCCATATACATTGAGTCTGCAGTGTGGTTGGTCTGCTCGTACTGGGCCTTCAACCCACCTGGTCCACTCTCTTAGTCTAC